CCATTCAGTCAGCACATGTGCCATTCCTGCCTCAGTTTGAAATGTATAGAATGATGTGTGTTTGGATGACCTTGAGGCTAAGAAGGACTGACTCAACCATATCTTGCCACTAAACTTAGTCTTGCCCTTTCTTAGGACACAGTCTACAACAATGCAAGTGTAGTTGCAGCCTGTGTAGCTAACTCTAGCTAACATGGGTAACAAATAGGAGTGCAGGTGTGGTAATATGAACTTTAGAACACGCTAACAACGTAAGTGCAAACACAGAGTCCTCAGCCCCCACGTTGGTGCAACTTCTTGCTGAAGCTGCTGCCCTGGGACCCCAGGGGCAAAAAGGGTGGAGTAGGTGAGCAACAGCACTGTTCAACCTCAAGACCCCAGAGGCACACTGGTGATCACTGAGAGTTCACCAGTCATGCACTGCACAGACAAAGGGGGTGTGACTACATGCCCTCCTCCCCCTCCCTTGCCAGATCTGCCCCTGCTTGGCACCATCTATGTTACATAAACAAGCTCCAGTTTAATTATGTCATGGAATTGCCATGAGTACAGCAAGCTTCATTCTGTACAGCGCAGGTAAGGGATGAGAACACAAGAGGGATGTTGATGTTTTTGCTTAAAACAATCCTAAATTCTGATGACCAAAGCTGTATGCGAATCACAGCTGTACCTGTGCTGACTGCCCTGTTTTGCCCTTAGCACTGTTTGCTCTACTGTTTTGTGAAGTGCTTTGAGATGCATAGAAGTCATGATGCAGATGCTGTACTATTCTGTACTGCCCACAGTTTTATCCTTTGTGCCCCTGGCATTTGGATGTCAAGCTCATAACACTCATAGATAGTGGGGTATGAGGTAAGAGGAGTTGCTCCAGCTAACAAAAGGGGGGATGCTTTTAGCTGAATGTTATAGCTGCTGCTTTTAAAGTGCTGCTTTTGGGATAGAAGCCATGGTGCTGGCCTTCTGCACAGTGGTGTCTAGGAACATGCCCCCCACCCAGTGCCTTCCTCCATGCACTGAGGTGCCTAAAGGCATGCTCCATAGTCACCTGGCAGCTATTTAACAGTAGTTGAACAGTTCCTTCCTGGTATTCAAGAGTCTAGTGTAGGGCTTCGTGAGGGTCCCTAAATAACAGGAAAGGGGATAGTCATGCCCTTTGATGTTTGAGCACTGCAGATAAACTCGTGTCAGCAGAGGCATTCAGTTGGAGTTCCTGAAGACCCTGAAATTGTGGAACTTTTCCAATTAACCCCTTGGTGAAGGGCTGGCCCTACTCAGCCTAATTAACCCCTAGGTAATTATGTCTGTGATCCATCGATGACACCCCACAGGAGATCTTTCACTTTATATATGCCAAGTTATTGTGTATGAAATAAATGCAAAAAAGAAAAAAAATTTACAGGAAAAATCCACTTTTCCCTCAAAATAAAAGTGAGAATTATTTTTTGGAGGTGAGAAGTGAACATGTGTAATCCTATGTATTCATTTGATTTTAAAAGAGGCTGTATAAACTCACAGCTGTTCAGGGTTAATTAAGCATTGGAGTGACTTATCAAGAGTTGCGGTGGACTGTACATCATAAGAAATTTCATTTCAAGATTGTGTTTTTTTTCTAAAAGATGCTCTAGTTTTCAAGCAAAAAGTAATCCAAGGGAGTCCTCTAACCAGTGTCATGTATATGCAGTGGTTCTCAACCTTTTTTTTGAACCAGAATCCATTTGTAAGCATTGATGGCCAGTCCCTATTCAGTGCCATTTACTCCCAACCTGCTGCCCCCACCCCCACAGTGTGTGGGGCAGGTGATGGGTGTGTAAGGGAAGGGGGGACCTCAAGCAGTCCCTTGAATGCTAGAACTCTGACAAACTGCAAGGGAAAGGTCATGGTTTCCCATGTTTTTCTCCTTAAAAAGAGAATCCATTTTTAAAGTTTGTTGATCCATTTTTTAAATTTGTTCATGACCTGTTCATATATTCTTGTGACTTACTTTTGGTTTGGAGCCCATGGATTGAGAAACACTGGAGAGTGGTGGTTTTCAACCTATGGTACCCCTGGGGGTCTGCAGACTGTGTCTAAGGGATCTGTGAAAGGTGACTATGATCAATCAAAAGTATGTTAATACCCACACTTGCAGTTCAGAGGACTATGCATCTCAATTTGAAATTTCCAAAGGGGGACCACAAATTAAAAAAGGTTGAACATCACTGGACTAGAGGGGTGCGTGAAGATGTAAAAAAAAACAAACAGTGCTTACTTTTAAACTCAGTGCAGTCCTGCACCAAGCCCCACGCATGCCTAGAAGAGGTAGCACCTTACTTCAACCTGGCTCTGCAGTGTCTGTAAAGATTGGGCACTTTAGTGGAGTTGTTGTGGTGCTTTTATCTAATAAATGATTGAATCAGCTTTAGCTAAAAGCACCAAAAAGCCCCACTGAAGCGCCCAATCTTTACAGATGCTGCAGAGTTGGGTTGAAGTAACATGTTGCTGCTTCCAGTAAAGCTTGGTTTGTTTGATTTTAGACTTATTCTATGAAGCTATGAACCAACAGAAAATTAAAGTAATGTGTATATAGCCACCCAACAGGCCCCATTCATCATCCAGTAATGAAAGGGTTCATCAGTGAATGTGATGGGCATAATTCTCAAAATTTGGTAAATAAATAGGTTGGTAACTTCTTACTGCTGCTTGCCCGTCAAGGATGCTTTCTTCCAACATAACATATATTGTCATATAAAATGTCTGTGGAAGTCACTACAATGGATTAATTTTTCTGACTAGTCAAATGTGTATTGGCATATGGATGTAGTTACATTCTGTTCCATTAATGATTTGAATCTCCAGTGAAATAAACATTGGAATGACACCCAGCATTATATAAAAAATAAAGAACAAAAGATAAGTAGTCTTGAAAGCTTTCTTCTCTTGTCACATAGCACAGTTTACCCGACGTTCTCTTTCTTACCTTAAGGTTGCCCAATGAAGAGCCAGGTTCTGTAGTACAGTCCTCTGGCTAGCCTCCTTCTTCCTATGGTTCGGGTAGAGCCTACGGTAACTGCAGGGCCCAGTGTGCACTGCTTCATTTTCAAATGTGCTGCAATATATCCTGTTTTTTCTTTTACAAAGGAGTTGCCCATTCTGACTGGGACCCTTCGCTCAGGCCACAGGTGTGTGTGTGTAACTCCAGAGCAGATGTAATCTTTGGGTATGCAAGGCTTGATCATGCCAATAGATACACTGTAAACACCACGGGAAGATATTTTTGGCAGCTCACTTTTCCTACTTTAACAAATTTATTTCGCTGCTGTTGGAGCAGTGTGCTCCAGTTTTTAAAGGGATACAGGCATCACAAAATTAATTCAGTTTAAAAACTGGGTTAAGAGTGATCATAAGGATACCCCTGTGACAGGGACATCTTTGTGGGTTCACAGTTTTATTTTCCTGTTTTTTGGAAATGGTTTCATTTTATTTTAATAAGCAAGGGGACCACATGAAAGTGGAGTCAGCAGCCTCAAATGTTTTCACAGGCACAGAATAAACAAACTGGAAAAATATTTTTCCCCTAAACTTTCAGGCTTTAGTGACCTCAGGATGTTTCTTTCATTACTAATAGGCAAATGCGTATTCTAATATAATATAACATAATTACAATACAATACAATGTTCAGACAGAAACGTTCTTTTTAAATGTGATGACAGATCCTTATAAAATTCCAGTTACTTTTCATTTTTCCTCAAAAGTCATCTGCAGCCATTTAAATATCACAGAACCATTAAAGAAAATTATCACAACCTGGGTATGAATGTTAAGCAAGCCCCTTCATTGCTCATGAGTTCAGTGAAGGAGTTCATGGTTTGGTCCAGGCTTATGTGAAACTCAATGGCTTTGGCTGAGTTTTGAGTTCTTGTATTTATATGTATGCTTGTGTGAAAGAGAGCAATACCAGGACTTTGCTTTTTGCCCTTTTCACTTAAGATTCTCACAGCACTTTCATTTCCCCCAAAAGTACAAAATATTGTGACGGTTTAATTGGCACAAATGTAATTGGCAGGTTAGGTTTCGGGACCTACCCCTTCCTTGGAAATTCTTTTAGAACTTATTAAAGTTATTTCTGGCCCTAATCACTCCTGAATGATCAGAACTGAACCCTGTCACTGATGCAGAACTAAATGTTGACTCATTGATGCTTCCTGAATCTTGGACCTGCATAGTTTTGAGAGGAAAATTCCTTATCTTTAGGGAAGAAGAAACTCTTCTCAGCCTGCTTCTATTTTATGGCAGTTGTTTGCAGCTGCTAAGAAATTTGAAGTGTTAGAAGTAGTTCCAATACAGGTGGGTACATGGGCAAAGCATGGCTGAATTGGTGAAAGGAACCTGATAACACTACAGTCCATGTATGTTGTAGGAAGAGGAGGTATATAAGAGGCCCAGGGAACACTTTGTGTGTATATGGGTGTTTAACGTACAATATTCATGCAGTTTGCTGGGTAAATGTTCATAAGATACTTCTATTTGACTCCAGAGCAGCATCAAATACCTCAATTCATTGCCTTTCTTTCTTTCTCTCTCTCCTTCCCCAACCCTTTGCAGAAAAAAATAAGCCACCTGCAGACGAGCCTCAGCCTCACAGTAGTGCTATTGGACCTGTGATTGGTATCATACTGTCCCTTTTTGTCATGGGAGGAATGTATTTCGTTTGCCAGAGAGTAGTATGTCAGCGCTATGCTGGACCCAATGGACCTTTTCCACATGAATATGTCAGCGGTACCCCCCACGTCCCTCTTAATTTTATAGCTCCAGGGAGTTCTCAGCATGGCACTTTTACTGGTAAGGACGGTAAGGACCCTGCATCTAATCAGTACTATTGTATTACTTGGATTTTATTTTCATAGGGTACTAATTGAGGGGGAGAATTTCAAAGGCAGAATAGCAAGTTAGATGCTGGTGAATCCATTGACTTTCAGTCTGACTTTGGTGTATAATGGCCTCTTGGTCCAGGTTTTCAGAAGTTTCTGCCAGAGCTAAAGTAAGGGAACAGAGGGGAGGGGCCAGCTCTGCGTTGGAGCAGAGAGCCTCGCCCAGCTCAGAGAGCATGCTGGGATGCTGGGGGAGTCTGGGGGCCTTTGTATAAACCGATTTGACCCAAATCAGTTAAGTCTAATACTACATTCAACCAGGTTTATCTCAGACCGGTTTCAGCCATTTTCAAACTGGTTTATGTGTGCTAAACATCTGTTCTGTTACAGGTTTAAACCCATTTCTGATCACTTAAGCTGGTTTATGTGGAATATCTGTCCCTAGCCCAGGAGTTCAGTGCACACAGACCACTTTTAAAATGGCCGAAACTGGTTCAAGATAAACCTGGATGGGTGCAGTATCAGACTGAACTGATTTAGGTTAGATCAGTTTATTGAACGTCTGTCCCAGATCCCCTCTAGATTCAAATTAACTCACAGTCCCCCAGAGTCCCAGGATGCTTTGCACCTCCCCTGCAAACCTCCCCTCACAGGGTGGCCTAGGTGTTGCCCCAACACTCCTCCCATCTGCACTCATAATGCTTTTACCTGATTTTGGTTCTTCAGACCCAGATTAGCTGGGCCACCTGGGAGCATGGCTTAGAGAGACTTCCACTTTGCAGTATGGATGCAAGCTAAAGCAGTGAATCTCAGTAGGCCACCAGTGCATTTCAGGAGCTCAACCCCTGTGCCTGGGACAGAAAGGTTCTCCTACAGTTCTGTGGGGAAGAGTAGAACAGTCATCTTACTGCAGCACAAAGAATGTGAAATATGCTAGAACTATATATGTATATGTAAAAAATATAACTTATGTGCAAAAATCCCAACAGCGCGCACAGATTTGTGCAGCACCATGATGACACAGTAACTTGGGTCTGACTTGTCAGTGTGGCTGCCCTTCCCAGGCTGGCCTGAGGTAATTGGCACTTGGGCTACTTTGCAGTGAAAACAGATCCCTAGTTTCAGTGCCTGTCTTCACCACAGACTTCCTGCATGGCCTCAGACAGTTCTCTTTATCTCTCTGTGCTTTAGTTCCCCCATCTGTAAAGCAGGATTCTTCCCTACCTCACAGAGGAATTCACAGGATAAATCAGTTGATGTTTCTAAGGTACTCAGTGCTATGACCACAAGGATATGGGACATAAAGGTATATGCGTGGACTCAGGCAACAAATAACAGCTTGTAAACTTCCTACAAGCATTACAGTAAAAAGTTAAATTAAATCTGTTTTAAAATAAATAGTAGTTAATATTTTAAAATATAGATTTTACAGGGCAGCAGTGTGCAGCAAACTCTGAGAAGAGGGATTCCCTTAAATTGTTCAGGAAGCCAAATAATAGAGTTTCTTGTATACCTTGCCAGTAAAAAGCAAAATATATGGTCATTTTCTGGTTCAGATGCAACCAAGCCATGCCCCTGCTGTGTGTGTCTGAAGCATCTGTTTTTCTTAACAGCTGGAGATTAGATACAGGATAAATCTAAAGTCCACTTAAGAAGTGTGGTTTTGCCTCATACGTTAAGATACACTAGCTATGGCTTTCCCATAGCCATAAATGTGGAAACTGTTGGATAGCTTCCCTTCCCCCCATATTTACGCAGTGTTACTATGATGGAATTTCAGGATTTAAAAAGGTAGGATGTGGAGATTTACCAGCAATTAAAGAAGAGTTATCCAAGCTCTTAGGAAGCAAAGCGTACCAAGTCATGTTGTTACTGTACTAATGTCTCAGAACCAATAAGGACATCAGCAAGGACACACACAGCTAGTTAAATACATACCAAAGCCTCACTCTCAGGGAATTAAGAGCACTGTACTGGTGCTAATGCAGGTTAGGTAAGGTGCACCTGCTACCATAACCTACAGTAGACAGAACTACCTGTGACTTTTATTGCCAAGTACTGGGCAGTAGAGAAATAACCTGGCAGCCTGTAGGTGCCAACGGCTTTGTGCAAAAGAGCACTTTATCAGATTACTATCATTACCCCTGGCAGAGGAAATGTTGTCAAAAACTTGTGGAAGTGAAATCCACTCCATGATAGGGTACACTGGGCTCTTTAACCTTGGTCAGCAGCCAGTCTAGGAGCAGAGCCCTGATGGAAGGACAAATGGATAATCTCCTTTGCTCCGACACCTCCTGGGACCAAGCTAGGGCCAAACGTACTGGTTTTTCCTTTGGATTACACCAGCAAGACTAGAGGGGACACTGCTGTATGGGCAGCTCAGTGTCTTCATATACACTGCCCAGGCTTTTGCACCCTGGTCACTCCAGCTTCGCTTTATCTTTCAAGCAAGGGTTACACCCAGTAAACTGATGTCTCACTCAGCGTAATTCTGTTGTCTCGTGAGAGAGAGATTCCATTGCCTACTTCTAATCCCTAGTCTCTGGAAGGCAATCAGCCTTGTAGGCAACCTGGTGTTGTGGTGTTGCTGCTTGTAGTAAATATTTTTAAGTTACTAACATTAAAAAGTTTTGGGTAGGGAACTAAGAGATGAGGAAACTCAGGTGAGACCCTTGCTATGGTGGCTTTCATTTGTGTGCATTTCACATGCACCCATTTCAGGTACACTTTAAAATTAAGATTAATATTTATCTCCAGTAGATTTATACTTATAATTGTCAAAATAATAACAGGTCTTAGTTTTAACTTCCTTCAATACAGGAGACTTGAGTTGGGTTGTCACTTAAGACAGGAACAGACTTTGCGTTGGTCCTGGGACAAGTTGTGCCTGTGTTCATACAGAGAAATTCCAGGATTAGCATGTACACATATTGCCCTTCTGATTGGGGTTTAATGAGCACCTGAATGTACTATCACTCTTCTGCTGTTGATTCAATTATACTATCCTGAGACAACTGTTCAAATGCACTTTACAATGTCCTGGGACAAACATTTAGCATTTTTTATCCCATGAACCTGTCACAACCCAAAGGGTGTGATTTTTGTTTTTGTGTGCTTCGGCACTGCTAAATTGTCCCTGCTAAATTGCAGCTTCCTTGCACGGTGGAGTTTTCTGCTGCAAAAGAGAACCCCGGTGCAAGGGAGAATTTCCCGCCAATTTGAAGCTTTCTTTGCAGGGTGCATTTCTTTGTTGCAGCACAGAAATGCTCGTTGCAAAGAGTTCCCGCCATTTGTATGCTGATTCGAGTCCCATTATTGGCCAGTTCTAAATTATTCACACGTGGTGGCTAGTGATTGGCTTGCTAGCCGTATAAGAGGCTTGAGTGGTTTCCGCCCAAGCTGGAGGACTCCACGAACAAGGGAGGAGGAGACTTCACGCTGTGTGAAGATCTCTAAGCGCTGCGGATCCTTACGGACCCAGTGCATTTCAAGCAGGCAATGGAGGTCTGATCAACCTCTAGCCTCTCCCCGTCGCCGAGCGCAATCCAGACGTATCCCTTCCCGCGCGCAAAAGAACTGGACCCACGGAGCCTAGCAAACTCTGTGTGAATGAGTGAGCAGAAGAACCCACGGAGCCTAGCAAACTTCGTGTGAGTTTATTCAGAGCTCTTCCGGACGAGTACTTTCTTCGGCTGACACGACGGACTCGCGTGTTCAGAGCCTTCAGCCGGATTGGGCTAGAGTTCACGAGTTTAGAACTCTTGTCCGCTTCTCTTCTTTTCTGTCTGTAACTGCAACTTAAGCAAGTTTTCCAGCCTGCACCACTGCCATCTTGGTGTAAGTAAACAATCTTTTAAACTACCGCTACGTGTCCGTGCCTAATTCCAGCTCGAAGGCCTTCCCTCTCCGCCCCGGCGTGCCCGGGCTGCTGGCCACAGCCCGCGTGCAGCGCGAAAAGGGCTCGGGTCGCTCCCGGCCCGCACAGAAGCTTTTTTTAGGGTTTGTTCTGGGACACCAGACATGACTGTATGTATGAATGATAGCACTTCGTCCTGGGAGAAAATGGCTTCTCCTAGGACAAATGTGATGTCTGTTTGTAGTCATATGCATCAAGGGGTCCATTCTCAGCCAACAGAAATTCTCACAGCTTTGTGTGGTACTGTGACAGTTTATATCAGGTGAGAATCTGCCTTTAGCTGTTGAAACTCTGGAGAAAGAAGAAAGTGTAGGGGCTGTACAGCCAGGAGTGCATACATGCTATTTGTTGCGGTTGATTGTAAAAATAATATAAACGGTATAGGCTGTGTTATCAGAAATGAAACACCAGGTTTAGAATCAGTAAAAAATGCATTCCAAAAAACTTCTGAACTAACGTCCAACCCAGATATTTGCCTAACTAATAAAAAGTCTTATGGGAACAAGCTGATAGCTCTGTTGTCACAATGAATGTATGGTACATTATCTTATCTGTGTACATATAGAGACTAGAGCTGGGTTAGAAAGTGGGGTGATTTCCACAGACTTTTGACAATTTTGATTTTTTTTTAAAAAGGAAACCCTATCTTTCATCAATATTTTCATGACAAAGTTGTGTGGGGGTGGATTCATCCTGTTCTGTTTTTTAAAAAATGGGGAGAGGAGGAGAATTGAGCCTTTTTCCATGGCAAAACAACTAAATTCTCTGCTTAAAAAGCAAGTACTTTTCACAACATGAATTAATCATCAAAGACCCTACTTTTGCTCAGAAACCATGCAAAATCCTTGACCAATTTTAATGAAGATGGCTTTATTGTCCAGCCCCTAGGGAATCCTGTCTGCCCTAGCTCAGGGCAGTTGTGAGGTATTATGTATGCTAAAACTGTGACTTTGGATTGTGACATGGCATTTTTCTTTAATTTTCATAGGAAATAGGGGATCCCAAACCAAATAATCCATGCAAATTCATGAAAGAAGCTATAACAGGGGATATTGCTAGTAGCAAAGAAAGGTTTAGTTCTTAATACTCTGAAACTCAGGCACTTTCCTTATTAAAACATCCTTCACAAAGAATGAGGGCTGATGAGAAGTATGTTGATCTGCACTAGTTGAGATTCCAATTGTGTGTTACAAGGATAAATCAACAGAGGCATAATGCTCTTTCAGCATCTGTGGAGGAGGGGAATTTTGCTGGCCACTGGAGAGGAGTGGGGAGAGGAAGAGGGGGAGTGGAGTCCAATCTGCCCCAGCCCTCCTCACTTGGGTGGCAGCTGCTGTTCTAGTAGTGTGGACTTGGGCTGCTGCGGCTGAGAGACAGGCAGTGGTGTGGACTCCCCAAGGGACGCTTCTGGTGCCTCATTCCCTCCTCCCATTAGGCAGAGGGCTGTCTGTCCCATGGTAAGGTCCCCTCAGAGTAGGAAGAGGTCATACTAAAGCCCCCTTCAAGTCAGTGCCCAGGACTGGTTGCCCTTCACCCTGTCTTAGTTGTGCTACTGCAGATCATGGCGTGGTTCCCTAATTTTGATTCCTAGTCTTGTTCTGCTTCCATGCAGGTATCTCTTGTGGCAAGTCTATGATTAGCTCCATGAGCCTCATGGGAGGAAGTAGCGGTGCCCCTCTTTATGACCGAAACCATGTTACTGGAGCCTCTTCTAGTAGTTCATCGAGCACGAAAGCCACTTTCTACCCACAGGTAAGTCTTGAAAAGGCACATGACACCTTCTCATTTGCAGCCATCAATGGACAAATTAAAATTTATACTACTAGAGAAGCACTAGTAAAGACTGTTCTTGTCATTTAGGAAAAAGACAAACAGAAATGAGCTTAATTTGCAGCATAGATTTAGGTTGGATATTAGGTAAAGCTTTAATTATGAAGATAGCTAATACTGGAACAGGCTGAATAGGGATGTTTTAGAATCTCCTTCAGTGCAGGTTTTTAACAGCAGATTAAACCTCTGACAGGGGTAGTCAGTGCTTTATCCTGCCTTAATGCCAGGGGGGGTGGAAGATTTCTTGAGGACCTTTCCAGCCCAAGATTTCTAGCACCTGAAGGCTTAACACAGTGTCCACTGAATTTAGACGAAGTTAGTTCATTTATTCCACTGTGTATGTCCCCCTTCCTGTAATTTTTTTAATCTTTTGTTATTAAAGGGATGTTCTTCAAGGACATTCCAGTCCATTTTTATTCTTGCACTCTGGCTCCTGGCAAATATCTCTTCATCTGTCCCTTGTGAACTCTGATGTCATTGGCCTGATGGTATTTGGCACTGCATAATTCAGCAAGCACACACAGGAGCAAGAAAACAAACAAGACACAACAGGGGCTGGAGAAAATGCTTAAAAAATAAGCTTGGCTTGCTCTTTATCCAACAAGTTGTGCTTCGATTCAGAAAATCAAATGCAAACACTGGAAAAACAAATACCAGAGTATGATACCAAGTTTAAAATGCTGGCTTTTCAGCAATGGGTTTACTCTTAATTTTTGGTTTTATTTGACTTACCCATGGGGAAATGACAGATTCTTAGTCCCTAAACCAGATTTCTTTAAGTGAAAAGATACCCTTCAAGGAGATAAAAATGGGGAAATGCATGATAAAAACTGATAGAAAAAGGAACATTGGTGGTATGTGACAGAAGGGAGGTGAGAGGATCATTTTCACTGGCATCTTACTGTACATTCATTTTTCTTCCCCTAAGCATTGCAAGCGTTTGATTTCTCCGTTAATGTGAGCTTTCAGCACCAACTACTTTTAGCGTTAGAGTTGCTTTGACAAAAGTAATTATGTTTGGAGCCAAATGAGTATGTAGGTATGCATGCAGTTGTGTTTACGTTTAAACAGTCAACATGTTGTAAATCAAAAAAGCATTTGAGAGCTTGTTTGTTTTCTTCTTTGTCTAGCAGCAACTGTAAACTTGTTTCTTAATTTTAAACAATGTAAAGGTGGAGAAAGGGAATTGTGCAAACAACTATGAAATGTCTAGTGGTTCCTGCTTTATGGGAAGCTTGGGCTTGCTTTCCTTTCCTGGTTGCTTGCTCACTTAGCCATCAAGGAGTCATTCAAGAGTTTTATAGATATCTGGAACTCCAACATACCAACCCTTTTAATTAGTTAATGGTGGGGGACAGAATTAGCTGGATGGTTTCATGCCAGAAACTGGTGAACTGGTCACCTACTTGTAAAAAGGATCATTTAAATCATTTAATTAATTAGTTCTCAACTTTTCCAGGCACTCCTCCATCACTTTTTTTTTAATGTGGCTGCACCTCAGCTGAAAACCACTGTTGGTGCTGCCTCAACTGACTTCAGTGCTTTACAACCAGGTGCTGCTGCCTCCAGATATGCAACTGCCCCATGTGCCTGTCACTCCTCCTGCAACAGGACTCTGCAATTGGCGTAAAGCAGGCAGAAGCTGGCTCAGGCTGTAGCCTTCCTGATCCAGGTGGAACTGTCCCCTGAGCCTCTGTTTCCAGCAGGAGCATGGCTCAGGAGGGCCTGGACTGGGAAAGGCTGCAACCTGAGCCAGCTCCTGCTGGCTTGAGACTGATCAAAGACCCCTAATGTACACAGGGCAGTTTTACCTAGCAGTCGCCATTACTGTAGCATCCCTGAGGGGGTTTTGCTGTACCCTGTTTGAGAACCACTGATTTCAACAAAGCTAAACAAAAGAGCCAGTGTGCTGATGTGTGCATGATTATTGTAAGAGTATAACTATATTAATTTAGAAACAAATACAATTAAAGCACTATCACCCCAGCATTGTTTATCTCTGTATGGCTCATTCACCTTAATTTACACAAGCAAGTTATACCAATATAAGTGCCTTAATTATGCATGTATCGCTGTGTCTAAAACTTGGTGGTTGTACAACTTCAGCTGAGGTTCAGAAAGTGATATAACAGTCTGTAGTTGAGCCCTTGACTATTTCTACTTTGCTATCCTTCACTTTGTAACTGAGGCCATGTTATCACTGAAGAGACAAACTTCAGAACACAGGATGTGATGTTTGAAGCTCTGAGTAATAAAAGTTATTACTAGAGATCAGATTGGTTGAGGAGGAAAATGGCACCGTGCCTCTAAGCATTGTCTGTGATGTCTTTCATCCTGTCATTCCACGGTCCTGGCAGTTCCAAACTGAGCAGGAAAGAAATATTCAACGCTGTAAATTGCCACTAGGTGATTAGGGTGCAGACTGGATAAAATAAGTGGTGGTATTTCTCCCACCCTTGCCCCTCAGCTCTGATTCCATCTGTGGTGCAAGACCTGCCAAAACAGGAACCTGTTCCCATTAGGTTGGGCAACTCTGTGCAACTCCCACTAAAGCAGTGGCTCCCAGAAGTTCAGTTCCCCTCTATAGGTCACCGCTTGTTACAGAGTCTGTGGGTTATCTGCAAGGATTGAACACAGGTTTCTTGGATCTAAAAGTCTGAGCCTGTACTATTAGGCACATGGGCTTGGAGTTTGGAGCAGACTCATGACCAGTGTATGCTTTACCCACTGGAAGACAGTGTCAAACCATCTCAGCTTGGGCTATATGAGCAATACTGTGAAGTGGCAGGAGGAGAATTTAGAGTGGTAGTTCAGGGAGATCACAGTGTGATGGCTGACCAGTTGTGCCAGAAAGTCAGTAGTGTAAATGATGGCAGGAGTGGCTGAGGCAGCAGCCCTGGTCACCACCCTTGTGACCCTGCTTTGGCCAATTATGTTCTGGTATCTGACTCCCACAATTTTTAAGCTAAGATGACAGAGAAGCCTGTGGGGAGACAACTCCGAGCATACCTGCCTCAGATCATCTCTGTAGTTATTCTGGGTACAGCACACACACCCCAGTGGTGTTGACTGATGTTCTCTTGATCCAGGGCCATATCTGTATAAATCAGCCATGCTCTATTGATGTCAGTGGAGCTCTGCCAGCTTACAACAGCTGAGGATCTGGCCCCAGGCATCATGGTTGCTATTGTGAGGTCTGCCTGCTGCTGCCTTCAGTTTGAATTGTGAATTGTTGCAGACGCTGCCCCAGTAGGAGCAGATGGAGCTGCACTTGAACATTCCTAGAGTGTGGCCTTAAGCAACTGCTTATCTTTAATATCTACAGATGCTACTGTGGGGAAATGTTCACAGGTCCTCCCCTACCCTGTCTTTTTAAAAGTATGCAAGGATATTCATATCAGTACTGGACCCAAAAGGCCTGGTTAGGAACCAGGGCTTCGTTGTGCAAGGCACTCTACAAACACACAAGAAAAAGGCAGTCTCTGCAGAGAGTATAAGGCAAGAGAAAACAGATGGAGACAGACAGATGGGGGAATACAAGGAGACAGTATTGATCAGTGCAATAGGCTTTGGCCTTTGGAAGAGAACAAGGTCTGTTGCTGTGTGGGAACTTGTCAGTGCATTGGATGCTTTGTTTCTCCTGTGAGTTATTAGAAATCAAATGCCCTTAACTCAAGCATAAGAGTATTAACTAAGCTCCAGCTCAGGTCAGTGACATTCTGACTCCCTAAATCCATCTGCTGCTGTTGCTTTTCTCCTCCTGCCTTGTAATGCCAAATATTTGTTCCCTTCTACCCCGCAGCAGCTGCATTTCATTGGTGCCCAAAGTGATCCCCTCCCTGCTTCACCATGGTGGGAAAGCCCACTGTGGTAGTAGAAAAAAAATCTCCCTCAGATCTTTTGGAAGGAACAAAGTGTTGCTATTTTATTTATATTTTATAAGCATTGGAGATCAGATGTCTCTTCCTGCTGCCGGGGGAGGGGCTGTATACAGAAGAAAGTAAGGAATACCTAGCGGCACATTCCCATCTTACTGCTCAGTGATTTACAGCCATCACACCCTAGGCACTGGGAGGTGATGTGGTACCCATTCAAATTGTGGTTAATTTGAGCTGTGCTAGAAAGAACATGAAAAACACACAAAAAATATGACTCTTTGTCCCTGTATAAAAGATGAACAAACTGGAATATCAAAAGGTGGAAGGGGGCAGGTTTGGCAATGCCAATGTATGCTTGGGTTCATCTTCAAACATGATGTGTGGGGTTTTTTGCCCGTAAGTGCTGCCAATAATTAATTAGTCATGTACTATATACATTGTGAAGGGGGAGGTGGGAGAGATTTTGCCCAACTACTGTGATTTCAGACATGCTGTAAAAAAAATGTTGTAGAGAAAACATGGAGTTGGACTAATTCTTGTAAAGGAGTTACGACTCCTTAATCCTCCATTGACTGGCAGAGAATTGGAGTTCAGGGAGTGAAAACTGGGAGGCTGCAGTTTCCATTGGTGAGTCTGAGACACCAGCAGTCATAAAGGAAACATGCATTCTTGGTTAAGTTGGGTTGAGATAGAAAATCTAGTCCTACTGTGACCTTTCTTGATGGTAGGCAACCTGCATACATAGCAGGAGAGAATCTGTCCCTCCACTGGAGGAACCACTGGTTGAAATTCTGTGGCCTGCACTATGCCAGAGCCTGGACTAGAAGACCACAGAAAACATTTCTATTCTTAAAATGTATTAATTCTTTTGAGCTACATGTAATAACATAGGAAGTAAGAATAGGACTGTGGCCTGAGAGACAGGAAACAAAATGCTAAACATAAGTAGAGTTGTGCAATTAATTCATTCAGATCTCTGCCTTGTTTTTATCCTGCACAGATTTTGAACCCACCTCCTTCCCCGGCCACCGATCGCTCCTTATATAACACAGAGATGTTCTATTCCTCAAACATTCCTTCGACGACAAGATCTTACAGGTACTGATCAGACTGAAAGCTTGGCATTTTCTTGCATCAGTATCTCTTTGGTTTTACATCTGAAATAAAAAGTTCCCATTTCAGAAATTTAACTTTTAAAGGGAAAGGAAGTTGGGATTTTTTTTGTTTACACCTTCTTTGATAAATAACACATCAGTGTTGGCGTGTCAAACATAAAGTCTATTTATGTGTGCTCTTTTTCTAATGAATTGGTTTGGTTCCAAAAAATTACATCAGGGGAGTGAGTGTGAATGTAGTATTAGAAGTGGGATCCTGAAGTGTTTTGTTGCCAGATTGAGGGTTAAAATGCAACCCAAATGGTTTGTCAGCTTAAAAGCAGCTCAACATCCTGTGCAAAATGAGACTGGTGATCTCAGTCCAGCTCCTCATCTATGTCATAGCACTGTCACATGGTACAAAGTGGCATCAAGTTCAAATCATTGGGATTTATTTTGTCACAGAACTGAATTTTCTCACCTGTGGCTGAGA